TGCCATCACCAGCACCAGCACCAGAAACCAAGGCGACATACAAGACGGCTGTGCCGGAGAGGAGGAGGACGTCGCGTCGCAACGCCAGCCTAGACCCCGCGCCTGCAGAGGAGGTGGCGATTGTGCAGCCGAAACGGGCGACGCGACGGAGCACGCGTCATTCGACCGACAGAATCGAGGAGGAGCCACCGGCGCCGAAACCAGTCGCCAAAACGACGTCCAAGGTCGCGACGAAAGCCGCGCCCAAGAGGAAAGACCAGCAGGTCGATGCGCCCGAGGACACGCCCGAGGAGGCGGCAGGGCGGCATACGCCACGGGCCGTGGACGACTCGGTCGAGTCGGCCAAGATCACGTTGCCGGTCAGCGACACGCCGGTGATCAACCGCAACAAGGAGATGCGCAAAAAGGGCGGGGGGACGCGTCGGAGCAGTCTGGGCATGAGGGGGCGGCGGGCGAGTTCCCTCATCGAGAGCGGGCACAATGCAATACCGCATCGCGAGGTCGCCACCTCGGAGTTCTACAAACACATCGAGGCTGAGGGGCTGAGCGAGCCGCGGCGGATGAAACAGCTTCTGACGTGGTGTGGCGAGCGGGCGTTGCTGCAAAAGCCACCACACGGCTCGGCCAACGCGCACATTGTCAACGGAGGTAAGCTGATGCGCGATCATCCACAAGGTTTTTCTTTTCCGGAATTGGAGGTGCTAACGCGATATAGCACGAGCGATACAAGAACTGCTACTGAAAGATTTTGCGAATAAGTCGGAATGCTCTGACTGGTTCGCGAGGGAAGACGCGCCACGAGCTCCCGTCGTTCTCCAGCCAAACCCGCGAAATCTAGAACATCAAGAAAAGATCGACCAATTGGAGCAAAAGGTCAAACGGTCAGTCTGCTCTTGACGTTTGTGTGTTCATCGTAAGCATTCGAAACTGACATTTTCATCGCAGACTAAAAGAGGAGAAAAAGAAATGGCTGTCGCTCAAGAAGACGCCGATACCAGACATTAGCCCTCTGTTCCCCGAACAGCCAGCAGATTCAGCACAGAAGCAGCCTGTCGTTCTCCCAGACCTGAAATCCCTCGAGGCCAACGAGGCGCTGATGCTCAGCTACCTTACCGACCCGGCCACGTCGTTTGACGGACATCGAAAGGCCGTGCAGACACGGCTCCTCCGCGTACAGTCGGGCCTCGAATTCAAGATCGACCAGCTCGCCGACAGCGTCCACAAGCTGCTCCAACGAGTCGACACGGCAGGGCGCGAAGCGGACAAGGTCCTCGGGCTGAGCGCGAAACGCCTCAAGGAGCGTGAGCACCGGGAGAAGACCGCGTCAGGGACCAGGGAGATGCCCGCCATGGAGGTGCTCAGAAGCTTGGGGCGGTTGCTACCACCCGAGAACGAGGGGTAAATGGTCGATCAGCATCAGGCGCTTCTTCTCGGTTGCTTTTTTTCCTTCTTCTTGTCTCTACCCACGACGATATCATGAATGAAACGAGGAGGGAGGCTGGATAGGGCTTTTGCTTGTGATTACTTTTCCAAGGCGGAGGCGTCGGTTTTCTTTGTATGGATTTTTTGCCCCTCCTCTTTTTTTCTTTCTTTCTTCTTCATGTCGTGAGAGAAAGTTCAAGATTCCCCCCCTTGTATTTCATGGTGGTCCTGGGTCCGGCGGCGCGGGCACAGTGGTCTGAGGTTGCGCCTTGGGCGCAACGGGATGGATGGGTAGTCGTTAGTAATCTACCTATCTTCTGGCTCGTTCCTATGGCAAGTCTGGGGCATATTGCAGTGCATGTTCTTGACGAATAAGACGGGATCTGGCCCTTGGGCATCATGACTGACAACTTGCTCGCGCGAGTCTGGCTTGTGTTTGGTTCCTGTCTCACTTGAGCTATACACGAACATTCGAGCAAACAGTCGTCATATTCATCAATTTTTGAATTGGTCTCATGCAACCCAGTGCTAGTCCGTCCGTTAAATTCGTCTCCCAGACCGCGCGGCAGATCCAATCCCTCCATCTTTTCCCAGCTTGTCTCCACAAACTCCCCAAGGGGCCGAGACCAAAACGAGGACCCCAGCAAGTCGCCGCCGCCGCCACCTGAACTGGGGAAAAAACATAGCCTCCCGCTCGTTCTGACCTTAGATCAGGTGCTTGGACCGGAAGTACGCGCGCAGGTACATGATCTGCCACGCCCACAGCGCGACGAGGACAAAGGTGGTGCCGACGCCGAACCACTTGACGCGCGTGTTGGTGCTCTCGTTTGTGTCGCGCAGCTTAAGCTCACGGGCCTTGAGGTAGTCCATCTCGCGGTTGACTTCGCTGATCAGCTCCTCGATGCGGCGGAGCTCGGCCTCGACGGGCTTGAGCTTCTCGGTGGCCTGGATGGCGGACCAGTCCTTGGCGTCGGCGCCAATGTCAATGTCGAGCTCGACGTCGACGAAGGCGTTGGGGATGGAGCGGGCTAGCGACAAGGGGGGGCACGGGTCAGCTATGGCTCGAGGCAGGTGATAAAAGGGGCGGGAGACGTACAATCGGAGAAGACGTTCTCGAAGCAGACGTCAAAGGCGGCGTCGGCGTGCGAGGTGAAGACGGTACGCTGCTCGCCGGCCACGTCCTTGGGTCGGCCGTAGTCGTTGCCCACGGCGTCCTTGATCTACAGTGGCAACCTTGGTCAGTCCACCCATCCTCGTGCCAGCATGGGCATCGACGCCCGGGAGCCACGTACGCGCATGTTGACAGTCATGCCGTCACCCTTGTATCCGCCCACGGTGGCCGTGACGACGACCAAGGTCTCCTTGGCCACAAAGTTGCGGATGCATCGCTCGCGGTTGCTGGCGCCAGGCGCGGTGGCATGCAGGTCGAACCTGAGGGCCTGGGCGCTGACGGCCAGGAGGAGAAGGCTGCAGACGTAATGCAGCAATGATCGTGGTAACGCCATTGTCGCGGCCCGGTGTGTGTGTGTGTGCGCGTGTGGTGCAGGTACGAAAGCAGACGATCGCGATGGTTGTCGTGGTGGTGGATAGGCAATCTGGCAAGTCTCCCTGGTCGACTTTCGGGTGGGAGAGCTTAGCTTGGAGTGTCCACTGCATTTCGACTTTGGAAATCTGTCGCGTACGGCTGCCGGCCGTTGACCCCTGTCCAGGCACGCCGCAGCGCCCAATCACATGGCTTCGCCCCGCAGCCTCGAACGCTGTCCCTCACGTGAAATCTTTCAGCCTTGTCTTGACTTTTTGGGGCGCGACAACGACAAGCTCCATCGACCAACGTCTGTCTGGTGGTCCACTGTCGCATTGCCCATCGCGCAGCACAGCATTCGACTTCTCCCGAAAGCCAACCACGCGCTCCAAGCCAGCCAGTCAAGATGCCCAAGTGTAAGTCTTGAAATACCCCCATTCGTATGATCTATGCTGACCGTTTTGCAGTCTTTTGTATGTCCCTACGCATGCACTGCCCAGGCTTCCCTCTCCTCTTGATTCGCGACTGACCCTCAACACAGGTGACTATTGCGATGTCTACCTCACGCACGACTCCATGAGTGTGCGGAAGGCGCACAACAGCGGTCGAAACCATCTGCGAAACGTTGTCTACTACTACCAACGTACGACCCCCTTGCGCACCTGACACCCCCTCCCACCACGTAGCTAACGCGTTCGTTCCCTTGCCATAGAAATCGGCCACGAGAAGGCCCAATCCGTCATCGACTCCATCACCTCCTCCTACGCTGCCGAAGGCCAAGCCCACGCCAACCCCATGCTGCCGCAGAACCAGCCAGGCCAGGGCTTCCCCCCGCCGCCCTTCCCCTTCCCAGGAGGTTCGTGAACCTGTCCCCCGTTTCTTCGCCTCCCCAGGCGCCAGAGAGCAGCAAGACCCAGCTGACACCGACCGACACAGGCATCCCCCCTCCCGGCTTCCCCGGCGCGCCGCCTTTCCCGCAGGGCATGATCCCACGTAAGTCGCACCGCACCGTTCGCCGTTTCCCGAGACCAAGCCTGACCCAGTCCCAACCAGCTCCTGGACCTCCCGGCCGCGGCATGCCGCCTCTCCCCTTCCCGCCCCCGGGCGCCAACTGCGCACCCATGCCCCCGCCCGGCGGCCTGCCCTTCCCGCCCCCAGGCGGCCTGCCCTTCCCACCACCCGGTGCTGCTGGCGCCGGCGGCCTGCCGCCCAACTTCCCGCCGTTCCCCGGCATGCCTGGCGCGCCTCCCGGCGGCTTCCCCGGAGGACCGCCACCACCGCCTGGTGGCGGGTTCCCTGGCGCGCCGGGACAGGACAGGCGGTGAGATGGGCGCGGGTTGCCTCTGTTTTCCAGAAGGTTTACATGAACGCGATGGGGAATACGGTGTTTTCTCCGTGATTACAGTCGGGCTGGCGTTTTTGGTGTTTGGCGTGGAATTCATTTACCAACGAGGCGGGAATAGCATGGCCCGTGCCAAGACAATACTCTTCTGCTGAGAACGCATATGGGGTCGTGTCTGCTTCCTCGGACAAAGACGTGCCTGACATGCGTCTTTGGCTTGTAGTTCACGACCAGCAGTGTTCGCACACTCTGTTCGCGAAATACAGTAAATAGAAAGCAGATGTCTGGCTGGCACATCGTGTCTGCGCAATTGAGCAAAAGTTCACATTCAACCAGAGCTCGTGCTGAAACAGAGCGAATTGCGTGGTATCATGTCATGGCAGTGTCTAAGTGTACATGTGATGAGAGCCAGCTCCACGCATCGCATCGTAAGTCATCATGGTCATAGCCGCATGGCGCCCAGCACAAACCAGACACGGGTCGTCATGCCTAGAAACAAGAAGAAGAAAAACATGATCTCCTCCAGAAACAGATCGGCTCAAATCTCAAATACGTCCAAAGCAATCCGTATACCCAGTCCTGTAGCAGCAAAATCCCGTGTCCCTGCACCAGTCATCAATCGTCAAGGCGAGGCAGCACTCGCTGTCGACCATCATGTCACCTTTGCAACTCTCACGTCCTCGAGATTTTCCAGGCCTCATCCTCCATATACGCCTAGTTCTCAGTCACCTCCCGGTGGCTGCGCTGACTGCCGCTCCGTACTACTTCTCCCACGCCGTCCCGCACCTCTCTGGGACCACTGATCTTCTGCCGCAGCTCATGCGTGCGCCTTTCTCTTCTGCGCTCGCTTAGCCGTCTGGGCAAGCCCTGTATTTCCTCGATAGTGTGCGATACGGAGAATCGCCGCCTCGGGGTCGATGGCGTCTCTCCTCTCGGGCGGCCACGAGCGGGCCACAAAAACCTCGAAGAAGAGGTACCGTCGGATGTGTAGGGTCGGTCCGACTGGCGCGGGATCGACTCCGCGCTCTTCCGGCGTCGTACGACGCGCAAGTTGCCGCTCGGTGTACGACGGATAATGCGTCGGTCAAGTCCGTCCTCGCCTGACCAAGAACGGTAGCCATGTTGGTCGCGCTGTGGTAAGATAGCAAATGTCCGTTTCATCCGTGCACTCAGGCTCCGTTGTGGACCCGGTCGCTTGCGATTGGCTTCGTAGTAGTACTCTTCGTCATCGATATCTCGAACGTAGTTGTCTCCTTCGTCGTCGGCATAGGCTGGTCTCCAGAAGGGATGCAGCTTGCTACCATCTGCGGGTGGGTCGTCAATGTTCGGGTACGGCGAGTCTCTAGCAAGTGGCTCTGTACTCGCATCCCTTCGGTTACTGCGCGAAAGAGATAGGGTGCGCGTGAGGAATCCAGGCCGAGCCGTCTTTGGAGGGTAAGCTTCCGAGGTGCGTCGATGTTGGAGCAATGCCCTCCGCACCAGAGACATGCTTCGCTTGGGGGGCTTTTCATCCTCCTCCATCGCCTCAAAGTAATTGCCTCGCATCTCCTGGCGTTCGTGGAATGGCGTCAGCCCTGACGGTGTGGCAGGGATGAATTGAATAGCTGGAAGCGTCGGCGGCACTGGAGGGGCGCGTGGATTCTTGAGCGGTGAGTCAACTTGTTCAAGCGCAAGCTGTGTCTGCGGTGGTGTCACGGGGACTGAGCCGCCCGGAGAGGTTGTGACGATTTTCGGTCTTGCTGGGGCTGCGCCGGGCATCTCAGGTGCAAGGTCGTTGTTCTCTATGGCAGCTCTGTCTTGAAACACATCTCCATCGTCATTTGGTTTCACAGCGTGATGGACCATGAGCAAAGACGAGTTTTGATGAGGGTAGATGCTGACAGCAAGAGCTTCTGAGACCTCAGCAGCAGTTCCAAAACTTCCATTCGTGTCCAGGGAAGCGACTGAAAAAGGTGTGTTCTGGTGTGACAATCTCTTGCCGCTATACGACTCGGCGTCGGGCCGGTGCACATTTGGACGAGCATGCATGTAATCTTCCTGCGCTAAGAAGAATGAAGGGGTGCTTTTTAGATCTGTCGAGACCATTCTGTCCTCCGGGGTCAAGCGCTGCTGGACTGCATTGTGTGCTCTGAGGCTTTCCGCTGTCATTGACCCAGCGCGTGAAGTGTTGCGGCTTGTTGGGGCTGACAGAGATGAGGATCTCGCCGGGATGGCAGGAGGATAATCAATAGTTCTTTGATCAGATCCGTCAGATTCCGACATGGTCCATCGTCTGCGGGAAGGCCTATCAAACAGGGGTGTCAAGTCATGACTTTTAGCAGCGTTCACCCGCTGCACCGAGTTTACACTCAGACTGCGTCGGGTCCGATGGCTGCTCGTTGATCTCAGAGAAGGCGTCCGGCTGGATCTGTTGGATGATCTCCGGTCAGGTACAACGACGACCGGGATTCCTCCATTCTTCCACACCTCGCGGCGAGCTTTGTTGCTTGACATGGAGTTGTGGGTCGTCGCAGACGTGTGACTCTCACGGCGTGAATCAGGTGGCCGGCTAGCTGGTGGCTGCTGTCTGGTTTCTTCGAGTCGGATTGCAGAACTAGGGGCAGAACTTCCCGGTAATTGATCAGAGAGTGAATCTCGCAAGGTTCCTCGTTTCCTCATATGGCGCAGAGTCTGTTGTCGCTGAGGCGGCGAGGGTGTGTCGACCAAGATCGCCTCAACGACTGTGGACACACTTGACTTTGCAGGACATTCCGGAAAACCTCCTGTGATCTGGGGCGCTAGAGCTTTCTGACGCTGCCGGTTTCGACCTTTGCAAGTTTTCTTTCGGGTGAATGTTTGGCAACAGGGAGAGTCGTCATTATGTCATGTAACGGTACGGCTCGAAGCGCTTTGGTGGCATTAGAAGGAGAGATCAGGTCATCATCGAAAACCTCGTTTCCGTGTTCGCTCAGACGAGGAGTATGCGGCGTTTCCGGCGTTTTGCGCGTTTTCCTCACCATGACATGTCTGCCTAGGTTGTCGTCCCATTCTTTTTCCACTTCATTGGGCGATTCCCACCCAGCGTCAAATTTGATGAACTCTCCTTTCGTTCTCGGTGTCAGGCTGTCGTCGGTCTTGGGGTCAAAGTCGAGTCCGAGTCCGATGCCGCCCAGCTGCGACGCTTTCTTAACCTTGTGTTGTGAAATCTGCCGAACGGTAGTCTGCGATGTACGTGGAGATGGTAGACTCGGTCGTACAGTGGACTTGCAGTCATCTTCGGACGAATATGGCTCTTCCCTGGCCGTACGAAAGGACTCGGTTCGAGACTCTGACGTAGTGGGTTTTGAAATGGAGCGATCACCAAAGACGGGCCGCAATGCCTTGGGGCGAGTGGCTGGTTGAGGGGGTGTCACGTCAGGTGTTGGGGGACTCTGCTGATTCTGGGGCGTCGTGGGTCTTTCGAGATGCGTCGAGGCCTTTTCGAGGCTCTGAGAGGGTGTTGCAGGGTCCGTCGGGCTGTGCAGCTGTATTGAGTGACTACTTGAAGAGGTTCGCGAGTGGGCGGGGGGCGTCGGAGGCATGACGGGGCCACTTCGAATCCGTCTTGACTGGTGCTTCAGGGTAGGCGAATTTGGCGACTGCGAAGTCTTCTTACGCGATTGCGCATCGCTCGAGCTGAGGGTACGCCTTGCTTGCGAAGATCGCTGATCGTTGACTGTCTTCCCAGCATTCTCTCTTTGCCTCGACGGATGAGGGAGCACCTTGTGCTTCTTGAAGTTCCTTCGTCTTGACAACTCCTCCTCGGTCGTATCGTGATTTGGAGGTCGTGATGTCATCGTGGGCGAAAATATTAGGTTTGCAGCAGCTGTCATGCTGGGAACTGCTATTGTGTCGTCGGTTGAGGGTAGGAACAATGACGAGCGGCCTCGGTGATATGTCGATGGCGAAGAGGGTCAGCGCATGACCCGGTCGAGTAACTCGCGATTATGCCGACAGACTGAGACGTGTTCTTGTTCGCATTCTGGGCAGAACAATCTTGGGACGCGTTTATTCTTCGCGGGTCGCGCTTGTCGCAAAATGGACGTTGGTGAGCAGGTGCGAGAGGGTATTTACAAGGGCAAGCTGAACGGCGAGGGCGGCGGCGGAAATTGTTGCGAGGATAATTGTGGCGAGGCGTCAAGGGTCTCCTTGTTGAGACATGTGGTGGACAAGTGGCAGGGCCAGTGTTTCGTGGTCGAGGTTAATGTCAGTCGAGGCGAGTCGCGGTCTCGAGGGTAGCAAGGAAGCAACAGAGTCAAACCCAATGCAGGCGGGCGTGCAGCAGCCCAGTGCCACGTCGATGTGCTTGGAAGAATGGCGGTCTCCCATGAACAAGACGCAGGTCTGTCCGTGTTCGCGAAGAACCCAGGTTGAATGAAGGTGGGCAAGACACAACAGCAAGGACGATTTCCAGTGTAGGGATGACGCCCTTTGTGGTTGGTTCGGCCGCAGCAGGACGGGGATTCGACGGCACGGTCCCGCTGAAAGACCGCGTCAAGGCTTATACTAGTTGCCGTGTCTCTTGGACTCGAGGGAAACAAAGCGCTTGCTTCTACTGGCAGTGCGTCATGTCGTTGATCGCGAAGGCGTGCATGTGTCCGAGGTGTTCGAGGCAACAGCTGGACGAGGCAAAGGGACGGCTTGATTGGTAGGAAGCGGTGGGGGAGGACAGGGACGCAGAGAGGACAGGGACGCAGACACACAATACAATGTGAACCACCTGTACGACAAGTCGAGTTTGCTGGATCAAGAAGAACGACAAGTGTGGTAGCAGCTTCGGGGGTGCTGTCTGACTTGTCTGGCTGATCTGGGCAATGCCCTGGCCATCGCAGTCATGATGACAAGTGGGTAGCCTGGATAAGGTAGCCTGGAGGGGGGGGAGGGGCGGGCGGCAGGCGGGCGGGCACTGGGGGCGAGGGGCGGGCTTTGAAGGGACGGCCTTGGAAGGAGGGACCCAATAGAGGACGGCGATGTGCAGTTGGGGGTCCATCCTTCCTGCCATCGCTCCCACTGCGAGCATGGCAAGCATGGTCCATCCTTTCCTGCCTTCCAGAATTCATCCCAAGTCCCACTACCAGACTCCTACCAAACCCGCACAATGATCCTTGGCATCAGACTACCTACCAACAGTTTGGTCGATGAACCAGTCTCCCTGACCACGATACAGGCCGCCACCACAGACAAACTCCTAGACCGACTTCTTCCCGACCTGGCCTCGACTGTTGCGACGCGCATCTGCCGTTGCAAATTGTTTCTGGAATACCGCCCTCTCCTTTAGGACCGTCCTCCGCCGGTGCTACCTTGTACTCCCTTGTTCTTGAGCAAAAGCACCACAGTAGTCCGCAGAGTCATGCTGCGCCAAGTCCATGCAGGAGGACAGCGGCCTTGCAGTGGCCTCGACTTTGGATGCACCGGTACCAGCGCCATCGCCATCAGTTGACCAACGAGACGGCCGAACACCTGCCGACCTGCTTTTCTCTTCAGACAAGCCTGCACGCCCGACATATGCATTCTGCGCTGTAGGACGAATCAGATGTCAAATTAGCTCTAGGCCCAGCAAGCTCAACACTGGGTGGGCAGGTAGGCGAGCCTCCCAGCCTCCAACTTTCTCACCACGCCGGCTCCCCGCGTCCGCCGATCAGACTGGTCCAACCCCCTCACGACACCAAAAGGGCTGCGCTATTACCTGAGCTAAGGTACCTAGGTAGCTCACTGAGAGAGGCGCGGATTGTCCCGCGCGGCCGCATGTCCCCTCCTCTTGACAAACCCTACAGAAGGCGTTGCTCTTGCGTCGTAAGCATTCACTGTCCCAATCCCCATTAGCCCATGCGCAGGGCTTTGCCTACCATCGTGACAGTTGCTTGGCTAGTTTCTTGATTGCTGCACCCGTTTGTGAGCGTCCACAGCCCACCGAGTGCCAGGACTGGGCCCTTCCGACATACCCTCTTCTCTGCAGTCCCTTGCCTGCCCTACAAGCCAACGTTCTAGACTGGCAGCTTTGCCTGTAAGCCGTGCCGCGCGCAGATTGCACGCAACCAAGGACAACGCTGTGCGCTGGAATGTTGCGTGTTGAGAAAGGCCTTGTCGCAATCAGATCGTCCTGGAAACAATCGCCTGTATCTGGAACATCAAGATTCCAGCGTTGCACCCGTGTTCACGGGCGACAAGGAAGCCAGTGCTCCAGCTGAATCATCCGCAATAACCTTTCATAGCCGATTTTCTATTTCCGTCACTCACGAACGACCGAGTCTTTCGCCGATGCTAGAGCAGCACCGTGCTATTGCAAACTCAGCCCACTCTGCCTTTCGCCAGAATCCGAACCCCGACACGATCGATCCGGAGAGTAAAGTAATTACTCTGACGATTATGTCCGCCGCAGCGCCACCCAGTTGGAAGTTATCAACAGGCTTCGCGTGATTCAGACCTATCGCCATGGGTCGGATGCGACAATGATGGGCCTTCAGCCCATTGCTGCCTCTGACGTATTGAGCCGGAACTCTATGGTTTGAGGGGGGGCCTACCAAGCGGCGCCCACGACATCTGGCAGTACGGCACTTGGGGCCAGTCATTCACAGCACCACCATTCGTCATCAACCAGAGGGTGCCCCATCGATTGTGGCTTGGGTTTTGCCGATCAAGTCCCATCGGTTTCCTTGTCTCAGCCTCGGAAGGGCAACGGCCCAGCTTTTGCAGTGACAAGCATGTTCCCGTTGGCCTCAAACCCTGGCAATCAGTACTATGATCATTCCGCAAACAGCACCAACAAAAAAAAAAGAAAGAAAGAAAGAAAGAAAAAAAGGATTGGTGGTGTCACTTTTGACCTCATCAAAATTTTCCCTTTCTGCACTTCACTTGTCTAGCCACATGGGTATTCACCAGCTGTCTGGGTCGACTAAACTGGTGAAGTAGAAGTGTGGGTGAAAGGGAAGAAAGTGCGCTAAGCCCCGATCCGGCGTGACCTCGTGCCGCCACAGAGGAACACCACTCGGCCGTCGCCGGCTGAGGTAGGCATACGATGGCCTCCCGTCAGCCAGCTCGTATCCATATTTGTCCCACAGCTGGTCTAAACCCGTCATGTTAGTGGTTACCGAGACCAGCGGTAGCGCGTGCCTTGCAGAAAGCCATCGGCGAAAACGACCCGACTGCAAACCCAGCCACGGGAGATCATCGCCTTACGACGACGCCTCCTCCTCCTCCAACCGGGGTGGCCGTCCGATGCTTCTGCTGACCCACAGTGAACATGGGCTCAGTCTTACCCCACGCCACCACTGCTTCCGGGCTGGAGGCTTCTCGCGGCCTCGCTACCTAGTATATAGAGCCAAGTTGTGTCCGCTTGACCCTCCTCACATGTTGCACAGCACCAGCATCAACAATCACTTTCACCAATCGACCTTAGGGTTTCCTCAACTGACTTACAAGTGGTCAACCACTCACTCCATCACATCACCCCTGCCCTACACCGTTGTGTCAGTAGACCGATCTGCACAATGAAGGCCGCTGCTTCCATTATCCTCGCCGCCTCGGCCTTGGCCACGGCTCAAGTCACATAGTACGTTCCGCCCTTTATTCCACGCCTAACTGTCATGACTAATGCCCTACAGTAACGAGACAACTGGTGTCTTCACCTGTGCCGAGCCGAATGTTGCATACTGCGCCGGTGACTCTCTGGGAACTGACATCATAATCCGGTGTAACGGTGCCTCCATCGGGCAGCCCGGCCGATGCACCAACAACCTTGCCGGTCAGCCACCTATCGGCGTCAACCCCGCCCTCTGTTTCCAGACGTCCAAGACCTCGGGTGACGCTGCCTGCGAGAAGAACTGCATCGTCTACCCAGAGGACGGCTCCAAGCCATTCACTCTGTCCGCCGACCAGTGCAAGCAGTCGGGCTCCGGCAGCAACAGCACTACCACCACGACGGCCCCCATCGTACCGTCGACAACAAGCGACTGCGCCAGCACCTCCGTGTACCACCACAGCAACAGCACCAGGCTGTATCCTCCAGTTCCTTACCCTACCAACACTAAGCACTTCCCGCCTCATCCTCGCCCTACAAATGGCACCAACCCGTCTTACCTCCCCACACCCCCCAACGACACGCCATATCCCACAAGTGTTCACAACAACGCCACCAACGTTCCCGTCAGGCCAACGGGCACGAGCACCAACACCCCTCCCGACTCTGTTCCTACCGCTGGCGCGGCTCGGAACGGTATTGGTGCTCTAGCCCTCGCGTTGGTGGCAGCCGTCTACTTCCTCTAAGCTCGGTTGGCATTCGTTGACAAACCTAATTTACAACACTTAATACATAATACTCGACATTTGGTTGGCGCCTTTCGCACGGTGTTGCCAGAGGTGTCTTGAATAGATGCACATACTGCTGCGGCGTTTTAGGATTTAGAGGCATGGCTACTTGGCCAGTCGGGATGCAGGGCGTTTCGGCTCGACATACGGCAAGGATTCCGGCGAGGCATCCTGATCATATAGACTTAATTAAACTACATCTCAAGTTGAATGTAGCCTGACACAACCAATTGTGAGCACTGCAGAATGAACGTGAGAACCCAGGTTTGTCTAGATGGATGAGAAGAGTCAACATTGAGCCACATATTTCAAGACCAGTCAAGGCGACATGAAGCAGCATCAAGTACGAGTATTGTGACGAAGAAGGTGATGAGACAACACTCTCGTCTTCAAATTCAGGGTATCGTATTGCATCTTCGTGGCCAAAGAGACGCGAGACGCCGCCCACCTGCCCGCCTTTCGCCAGGAGACGCCGCTACGCCGTCTCGTCCCTCCACCACTGCTCAAAAACCCTCAGCCTCTCCGTCCGCTCGGCCGCCAGGCGCCTGCCAGCCTCCGTCTTCATCATGCCCTCGATCCGCAGCAACTTCTCCTCAAAGTGGTCTATCGCCCCCTGGAGTCCCCGGCCCCCGCCCTTGGCGCCGCCAAGGTGAAGCAGCGACCCACGCCGACGGCGCCGGATGGCATCGAAGCCGGGTCGGCGTCCTGCACGACGGCGAGGCTCGGGGACGCGCGCGAGCAGGGCGACAACGGCGGTCTGGTCCTTGACCTCGGAGGAGTAGCTGACACCGAGGCAGATGGTCTGGATCTCGGCGGCCAGGGCTTCGGGGGCGCCGCGCTCGAGGAGGACGTCGTGGACGAGGCGCGTGTGGTCCTGGCCTGGCTGGAGGTACTTCTTGTCGCCGACGTCGTGGAGGAGGGCGGCGAGGGTGATTTTGCGGAGGGAGAGGGCCGGGTTGCTGGCTGCGGTGGTGGGGTCGTTGTAGATCTTGTGGGCGAGGGCGAGGACGCGGAGGATGTGCGACCAGTCGTGCGAGGCGTCGTAGTTGGACATGTAGTCTCTAACGTAGGCTGCTGCGGCGGTGACGAGAGTGTCGTCTGCGAAGAGGTCGAGGGCGTTCATCTTGGGATATGTGACAGGAGGGGTTTTGTCAGAGACTGGAGGGTATAGTCTTTAAGCGTCTATATTGCTGTACGATGTCCGTTGTTGGCCGAGACGTGCCGGATCGAATAGCGTGCGATCTCAATTTTGTTTTATATCTTGAAAGACCATTTGACATGTGAGCGCCTCTGCCTTGGCTGATTACCGGTCTGGTACTGAAATGCCGCCAAGATGCCAGTCAATCGTCGCTGCCTGGAGTTCTGAGTCACTGGCGGACCTGGCTAACCGAGCTTAGAAGGTCGACCGGCCAGACGCGTCGTGGTATTGACGATGGAGTTGGTCAGGGTTTTGCTCCATCGCGTGGTGAGACGCGAGGTCACGTGACAGACAGGATCTGTGGGTGAAGTGAAGGCCAAGCTCGATGCCGCATCTCTCATCACCAGCCCAGTCAGTATATCGACAATCAAGTGGTGGCCCTTTTTCTTCTGGTGTGCCAATTCTGCTGCAGATCGTTGTGACCATCGGAAGCCGTGCAGGCATTACCGTGACATGAACAGAAAGTTCAGACCAAATGCTGGCTACCTACTGAACAATGAAGTCTCTCGGGTGTATCAGGACTCCCTCGTACCGTCCTTGATAGTCTCTGCCTTCTATCCCCCGATTTTCTTCTCCATCTACGAGCGAGGCCGGGGCCATCAGACTCCCCTTTCTCGCGCACAGAGGATTGACTCGACCACATCTCAGTAGACCTCTTGGTTCCCATGACTCTCCCGGCTGCATCTCAACAGCCGATCGTGCCCGCGTGCAGATCGACGACATTGATGCAGGCACTCGTTTCTCCATCACGCCAGGTCGACACCGACACCCGCAGTTGGTTCGGTTGCGCTGAAAGTGGATCGCCGTCGAGCGGTGGCCGTCCACTGGGTGCTTCCGGTGCCGTGGTGAGCGGAGCCTCACCATACCCGGCCGGGAGCTAAACGGTCCATGGTCCTGG